CTAATCACATGACATGTGCATGTGATCGCTGTGACCATTCACAGCTAGACACTAGTATATAATGGATGGCATGAATGAAGCCATCCATTGTATACAACTGTCATGTGACCTGCTGTGATTGGTCACAGCAGGTCACATGGCACCGGCAACGGGGGCCGGTACTCAGATCTGTCATTGGCCGTGTCCGAGGTACACAGCCAGTGACAGATCGCACTGCTGCGCGGCTCTGCAAGTGTGAAAACTGCGCATGTGCGGGAGGACGCCAAGTGGCATCCACCCGGAAATCTAGAACGTTTTCCCAGCCGCCATTCGTCTATTGTCCGGGAGGGAATTGGTTAATAACCCCGCTTATAGCTCTATATTGTATGGAATAGGTTGTTATGAAAGGACAGACCCGTGAAGTTGGTGTTTTCATTGTGTCAGTCAGCATTTGGTCCCTATCAGGACCAGCCACAGTTTTGAGAGTATTATCCAGCGTATTTACACTGTAACCTTTTTCTACAAATCTATCTTTAAGGACTTAAGCCTGAGAATGGTAATCATCAATATTTGTGCAATTTCTACGAATTCTTGTGTTCTGGCCCTTGGGAATATTTTGTAACCACGTCGGGTGGTGGCAACTATCCATAGGAATATAACTATTCCGGTCTGTTTTTTTTAAAAAAATGATTTCTTTGTGACATTACCATTTATGTTCATTATAGTAAGGTCTAAAAAGTCCATTTCTGATTTGCTGTAGGAATGTGTTAGATTAATGTTCAGGCTATTACTATTTAAGGTGCTAAAGAAATTCGTTAAGGATTGCTCGTCTCCATTCCAAAAAAGAAGGATGTCATCTATATACCTTTTGTATAGTAAAGGTTCCGGCCAATCACGAGCATGAATCAGGTCTTCCTCCCAGGAAGCCATAAACAGATTAGCCAAGCTAGGGGCAAATGTGGCCCCCATGGCCATGCCTTTAATCTGTAGATAATATTCCTTATTGAACCAAAAATAATTATTTTGCATTGCAAACTCTAAAAGGTTTAAATGAATTCTCTTTGTGCTAAGGGTAAGGTGCTGCAGTGTGAAGGAAAGAAATCGTCTGCTTCCATGTCGTCCTTATGACTGATGTTAGAATATAGAGATGTCACATCAGAAGTGACCAGAAATGTGTCTGGTGATAGAGTGACATCTCTCCCTACATTAAGGACTTGTTTTGTGTCTCGGAGATATGATGGTGTCTGTGTAACTAGTGTCTGTGTCTCGGAGATATGATGGTGTCTGTGTAACTAGTGTCTGTGTCTCGGAGATATGATGGTGTCTGTGTAACTAGTGTCTGTGTCTCGGAGATATGGTGGTGTCTGTGTAACTAGTGTCTGTGTCTCGGAGATATGGTGGTGTCTGTGTAACTAGTGTCTGTGTCTCGGAGATATGATGGTGTCTGTGTAACTAGTGTCTGTGTCTCGGAGATATGATGGTGTCTGTGTAACTAGTGTCTGTGTCTCGGAGATATGATGGTGTCTGTGTAACTAGTGTCTGTAGGTAATAATCAATATACTCTCCTACTTTACAACACAGCGACCCTATACCACTAACTATCGTCTACCTGGTGCTGTAATAGGGTCCTTGTGAATTTTAGGTAGTAGATAAAACACGGGTAGTTTAGGTGCTACTGGACATAAAAAGGCTTTTTCTTTTTTATTTAAAATCTTATTGTCAAAACCAGTTTTGAAAATCTGTTTCAAAGTACGTTTAACCACATGCTGCCCAGCCACTGTATAAATACGGCGGCAGGGCGGCACGACTTGGCAAAAGCACATTTTAAAACGTGTGTTTTGTAAACAGGTAGGGGGCGCACGCGAGGTGTGCCGCCGCCCTACCTGTCCCGCTGATCACAGCTGTGGATGTCAGTTGCCGAGTCACAGCCGGTCGTTACCAGCTATGTCCTGGCGATCATCGCTGACAGAGAGCACAGCTGCAGTAGCTGTGCTTTCTGTCAGTTCCCTGACAGCTCCAGGACATGCTGATCGGGACAGAAGAGTTTCCCTCTCCCGATCAGCTGTGTCCCCTGCAGTACACACCCCCGCCCCCTAGTAAAACACTCCCCCTCACACAGTTAACCCTTCCCTGAATAATAAACTTAACCCCTTCCTCCCCAGTGCCATTAGTACAGTGTCAGTGTTTTTTTTTTTTTGCACTGATCGCTGTATTGGTGTCACTGGAGATGTCGTGACCCCATGTCATTACCCCCCCAATGTCAGAATGTCCGCTGTAGTCCTGCCATAAGTCGCTGATCGGCGCCATTATTAGTATAAAAAAAATATAAATTCCAGTATCTTTCCTGCCATTTGTAAACGCTATAACGTTCGCGTAAACCAATTAATTTACACGTATTGGGTTTTTTTTTTAGCAAAGATGTCACAGAATGCATTTTGGCAGAAATGACTAAATTTGATTTTTAAATTTTTTTTACTGGACATGTTTTATAGCAAAAAGTCCAAAATATTGTTTTTTTTCCTTAAAATAGTCAGCCTTTTTTTATAGCGCAAAAAATAAAAACCGCACAGGCGATCAAATACCACCAAAAGAAAGCTCAATTTGTGGGGAAAAAAAAGATGTAAATTTCATTTATGTACCGTATTGCATGACCGCGCAATTGTCCGTTAAACTAGTGCAGCGCTGTATGGCAACAAAATGGAGTAAATTGCAGTATCTCTCCCATAGTTTGTAGACGCTATAAACTTCCACACAAAGCAATCAATATACACTTATTGGGATTTTTTTTTACCAAAAACATGGAGCAGAATACATTTTGACCTAAATTTATAACTAACTTTGAGTTTACTATATATTTTTTATAGCTGAAAGTAAAAAATATTGTTTTTCTTTAAAATGTTTGGCTTTTTTTGTTTATAGCGTAAAAAATAAAAAGCGCACAGGTGATCAAATACCACCGAAAGAAAGCTCTATTTGTGTGAAAAAAAGGACGTAAATTTTGTTTGGGTGCAGCATTGCATGACTGCGCAATTATCAGTTGAATTAGTGCAGTGCCGAGAAGCAAAAAAGGCGTGGTCATTAAGGGGGGTAAATCCTCAGGAGGTCAAGTGGTTAAAAGCTGGGAGAGGGTCTCCTGGGAGGAGAGAGTAAGTAGTTGTATCATTTAAAATATTGTAACCTTCTGGAATGTAGTCACTTTTATTAAGGATCACCACCCCTCCCCCTTATCAGCCGGTCTAATGACCAAATCCTTCTTCTGGAGGAGGGACTTCATGGCTTTGTTGATGCCGGCACCACCATGCGGCTGCTTAATGCGTATATTTACCAAATCTTTCAGGACTCTCTCTTTAAAGAGATTGATAAAAGAGTGATTGTGGTGGGGGGGTTGTAGGTGGATATTGTGGTGGGGGGGTTGTAGGTGGATATTGCGGTGGGGGGTTGTAGGTGGATATTGCGGTGGGGGGTTTGTAGGTGGATATTGCGGTGGGGGGGTTGTAGGTGGATATTGCGGTGGGGGGGTTGTAGGTGGATATTGCGGTGGGGGGGTTGTAGGTGGATATTGCGGTGGGGGGGTTGTAGGTGGATATTGCGGTGGGGGGGTTGTAGGTGGATATTGTGGTGGGGGTTGTAGGTGGATATTGTGGTGGGGGGGTTGTAGGTGGATGCGTTGCGGAGATTTCAATGTACAAAGTGACTGGAGGAAACTTCGGTAGGAATTGGATTCTTGAGAGATAATTGTCTGGTAAACTCCCGTATATCAATGTAAGTTGTAATTTGTGACGTTTCCTGGCTGGGGATATTTTACACCTTTGTCCAATAAGTGTAATTCCTCCTTGGTAACTTCATTCTTACTCAAATTAAAAATGCCCTTGTCTATTAGAGTCTCCTTTTTGTTGTTGTGTCTGTTGCAGCGTCTGCCCCTCTCTTTCCCCTGTAGTGTCGCTCCTTTTTCGGACCCTTCCTTCCCCTATATAAACGCTGTTGTGTATTAGAGTTGTAATTATACTGTGTCCTCCCTAGGAGTGGAAGGAGGGGGCCCTATGGGCTTGATACTGAGGTCTATTAGGTGGGCCTCTCCTATGATGGTTGGAATGGGATTGTGGTCCCCTTCGTTCATTATTTGGGAAGGTTGGTATTGGGTGTGAGGAGAATGGTATGATGGGGATCCAGAGTAGGTAATGTCATGGTTTGGTCTAGAACCTTTGTTTTTAGATGTGGAATTTCTATTCTGCGTTGTATTTCTACCTGGATGCCATCTATGGTCTCTAGTCCATTCCTTAGCAGATCCGGAGAGGTAAGTGTGCATGGATGGGGTGTAGGTCAGTCCTTACCCTAGATGAAATCTCTCATACAGACACAATGGGACTCATGGGACTTTATAAAGAGGAACTCCAGAAAAACATATCAATAAAGAGCTTAAAATGTTTTATTCACAATCAGTATATAAATCATAAAACCCTCCCAGCAGGTGTACAAGGCCATGAAATCTCTCACAAAGTCCATCAATGGAAAATTCCTGGACAACAATCACCGTGGGACAGAATTCTGAGATGTTATCTCCTGTCCATTCCTTCTCTGTGAATGGGGCTAAAACACGATGTCATTAGGAGATTTGCTGAACCGGGGGGAATGTTCTCCATCATTACAGAGCATTTCACACTTCATCCATGTCTTTGGTGACCTCTGATCTCCTTATGAACCATTTCTTCCATGATGAAAGATCAGCCATGGAGTATATCTGAGGTGTATATCAGGGTGTGCTTCTTCCCCACATGAGAGCTGGGATGTCCAGCAACATTCATCTAGAAGACATTTCCCGCACTCAAGGCACTAATACACCTCCAGGGTTGTGTGGGACCCCTGATGTACAGGAAGACAGGACTTCAGTGAGAGAAACATTTCCTTCACTCAGGACAGGAATATGGCTTTCTCCCCTGTGTTTGAGATCTCTGATGTTTGTGCAAGACTGGACTTCACTGAAAAACATTTCCCACACTCAGGACAGGAAAGTGGCTTCTCCCTCATGTGAGATTTCTGATGTTTGTAAAGATGGGACTTCTGTGAAAAACATTTCCCACACTCAGGACAGGAATACGGCTTCTCCCCCGTGTGAGATCTCTGATGCACAGAAAGATTGCACTTCTTTTGAAAAACATTTTCCACAGTCAGAACAGCAATAGGGCTTTTCACCTGTATGCACTCTCTGATGTGTGTAAAGACTGGACTTCTCTGAAAAACATTTCCCACACTGAAGACAGGAATACGGTTTCTCCCCTGTATGAGAACCTTTATGCCTATTAACACTGGACTTATCTAAAAACATTTCCCACACTCAAGACAGGAATAAAAACGGTTTTTTTTCCCCTATGTGGGATCTCTGATGTCTGACAAGTTCAACTTTTTGTACAAAACATTTCCACACTCAGGACAGGATAACGGTTTATCCCCTGTATGAGATCTTTTATGCCTATTAAGACTGCACTTACTTGAAAAAACATTTCCCACACTCAAGACAGGCATATGGTTTTTCCCCGTGTGTGAGATCTCTGATGTCTGACAAGTTCAAATTTTTGTAAAAAACATTTCCCGCACTCAGGACAGAAATACAGTTTTTCCCCCGTGTTGACATCTTTTATGCCTATTAAGACTGGATTGATAATGGAAACATTTTCCACACTCAGTACAGAGAACCTCTTCTCTGTTGGAAGGCCGGCCTGGTCCCGCACAGTCTGAGGTTCCTCAGGATATGAGGAATCCGATGCTCCATCTACACTGGGGTGGTGCCGGATGGACATTGGAGAAAGCCCGGTTTTCTTCCTGACTATACTGTGTGATGTCCTCATCTTCTACTTTCCAGTCTGGAGACAAAGTGAGACAATCCTTGGAGGTTTTCCTCATCTCCCGGCCCCATGGACTAAAATACAAAGACAAAGAGGAATTACTAGACAGGAGCTGATTGGTTCCCCCAAACCAGGACTGCGCCCACATCAGGCAGCTTGGTCTCTCTGAGGAGCTTACAACAATTCCACCATCAAGGGAACTAGGAAATGGCTCCTCTGATCTCCTCACCAGGTCATTTCTTTATTCATGGACCTGGGGGGGGGGGGGGGGTCAGAGAGTGAGGAAACAACCAGAACTGTCTTTTATAGGAGGGACAGTGATGAGGGGATTATAGGACGAGGGGCCCCACCCCCTCTATCATCTACATCGTCCATCTTCCCAACACAAGAAGTACTGCACTTCCTTAATTTAGTCCATGATTTAGTCATGAAGAACAGCGGGGCTGAGCCCCACTAGAGGTCAGAGAGTGAGGATGGGGGGAGAACAACCAAGATGAAGACTGGACTGATCACTGAAGACCACCATCATTTACATAGTTAGTCTGGCTGAAAAAAGACAAAAGTCCATCCAGTTCAACCTTAGACAAAAAAAATTATAATCCCTACATCCACAGTTGATCCAGAGGAAGGCAAAAAATCCCAAGCAAAGCACGATCCAATTTGCTCCTGCTGGGAAAAGATTCCTACCTGACCTCGCCGAGAGGCAATCGGATATTCCCCTGGATCCAACTTTCCCAATAAAATGTTATATCCAGTTATATTCTGTGTATCCAAGAAAGAATCCAGGACTTTCCTACAGCAATCCACTGAGCTGGCCACACACCCAACTCTTGAGGGAGTCTATTCCACATTCTCACAGCTCTTACTGTGACGAAACCTTTCCGTGTTTGGAGATTACATTTATTTTACTCCAGATGTAAAGAGTGTACCCTTGTCCTCTATGATGACCTCAGGGGGAATAACAACACCGAGTTCACTATATGGACCACAATTATGTATTACACATGGTGATCGTATATCCCCCATATGTATTACACATGGAGATCGTATCCCACCTTATGTATTACACATGGAGATCGTATCGCCCCCCTTATGTATTACACATGGGAGATCGTATACATGGAACCCCCCCTTATGTATTACACATGGAGATCGTATCCCCCTTATGTATTACACATGGAGATCATAACCCCCCTTATGTAATTACACATGGTGATCATACCCCCCATTATGTATTATACATGGGAGATCACATCCCCCTTAATTCTCCTATCTAGTCTTTCCAGTTAGAGAATACATACAGTCCCTCTAATCTTTCTCATAGCTGTATCTGACTCCATGCCTACGTTATCAGTTTGGTTTGCCCTTCTCTGTACTTCCTCCAGTTCCCAATGTTCTTTTTTGTGGAATTGGAGCCCAATATCTGAACTGCATATTCCAGATGAGGTCTTACTAATGATTTGCTACCGGGGGGGGCGGGGGGGGGGGTATCTCTCTTCTCTTCTGGGGAGGTCTATTACCTCTCCTTAATACAAGAGAGGATTTTGCTCGCTTTAGAACCCGCAGCTTTGCATTGCTGCCCATTATAAGCTTGTGATCTACATAGAACCCCCAGATCCGTCTTCACCATTGACCTCCCCCTGATCCTCTCACACCATTGACCCCCCAGATCCTTCTCCTACCTATGACCCCCAGAATCCCGTCCCACCATTGACCCCCCCAGATTCCTTTCCCCACCATTGACCCCCCCCAGTTGTAACCCACTGCAGGGAACGGACTGACCATGTGGAAACTGACACACGCACAGAGGGCCAGGGGTCAGTAGGGCGGCCCCATGAGATGCCCCTTGGTTACCTTTTTCCTTAGGCTTTTTTTGAGGGGCCCCATGATCCCCTTATTGCCCGGGGGGCGCCCCCATGAGTTGTCAGTCTCGCCTGCCCCCAGTATGTATGCATCATTTCTTAAGCCCCCAAGTGCAAGAAACCTTACATTTATCACCATATAGCCTCTAATGGGCCCCATAGTCCCCCCAATTTACACAGAGCATCTGAGGTCGGGCTTGTAAGTTTGGAGACATCCTTTGTAAGGACGTTATTTCCCCGGCAACAGTCTTGGTGTCATCTGCATCAAAGACTGTGAATGGGATTTATAATCTCACACACCCATGATTGTTATATAATAGTATATATTAAAAAGTAAAAAAGGTACCAACACTGAAACCTTGGGGTACACCACTGACACCCCTCCAAGACCATTCAGAGTCATGAATCATTAACCAACTATCATTGAATTACGATCTATACAGCCAGTTTTCTATCCATGTACATTTCAGATTTTTCCATCCCGTAGACATTACCTTAAACACATCTGCCGGTGTGTGGGGAACGGTGTCAAGTATACCCACGTCCACCGCCACACCTCTGTCCAAGTATAACACCTCCATCCCTCTGGTCCAAGTATACCACTTCGCACCCCTCTGTCCGATGTATACCACATCCAGCGCCACACTTAGTGTCCAAGTATACTCACGTCCACCTGCAACCTTTTTTATGTCCAAGGTTTTCTGCTCAACCTCCTCATAAAAAAGAAGTGAGATTTGTTTGACAACTTGTCTTTCATGAATCCACACTGTCCAGTGGCTTACAATATTTGTTTCAGCAGAGAACTCTCTCTCTGTGGTCTTTTATGAAACTCTCCAGTCTCTTCCATCTATAGAAGTGACACTAAACAGGTCTATAATTACTTGGGAACAGGATTTATGTACCCTTTATATAATATTGGCCCCACATTGGCACTCTTACACCCAATCCAGTGGGTACTATGCCAGTCATTAAAAGAGTCCCTAACTATGAGTAAACAATGGCTGCGAAGATGGACAGAGCTGAAGTCTTTAAAGGCACGTGGGTGTCCTGCCATCCGGTCCAGGGGCTTTATTCACCACCCTTTATTCTGTCTAAATATTTCTGCAATCATTATCAATTAGTGAGCCAATGTGGATCATCCTGTGGGGTTGGTCAGTACAATGACATTTATGGACAAGAGCCCCCCCCATGCTCCTTTGTCGTACACAGAGCTGCAGAAGGGCTTTCATCCATGTGTCCTTTCTTTGTCACCAGTCACCCCCTCTAGATGGTTCTGTCTAAAGGGCCTAACATGCTGGGAACCGGACCTTTCTACTATTCATAGATTGGAGGAATGTTGTGGGGTCATCCTGATATTGTCTGTTCGTTTGGTTCTTCCAGTTTTTGTGCCTTTTATTTTCCTTTTTGCATATTCTGTTCTATTACTTTGTAATGTGGTAAAACGATGATTGTGGTTCCTTCATTTTTATATTGTAATAAAAGCTCTTTTTCTTATTATCTATAGCTTTTGTAACTTTGGGCCGGTAAGCCACATAGGTTGGATTTTGTAGCCTTTTATACTTGTTGGCCCATGGGAATATATTTTGCAGTGTGGTCATATACAGTCTTATTGAAGAAGAGACTCCCATTTCTGTGCTTGTGTTCATCGATGCCAATATTCCCTCACAGTCTAAGTCTTGGAGAGCAGATAGATTCAGCCATCGAAATTTAGCTCTCTTGAAATTGAGGCTTTTAAATTTTTCCCGTATGTGTCACTGTTTCCAGCAGCTAACAATAAATGAAAATCATGTTATGGTCACTGCCTACCAGATGATCTATTATACTGGACCATTCGTAATAAGCTCTGCATGGTTGGAGATGACCAGGTCACGCAGAGTAATCATTCCTAGTTGGGGCCTCTATGAACTGGATTCATAATATTGTCCTGTACTAGGTTTAGCATAATAATTTGCCCTTTAACTGTTCATGCAGTATTATTACTCCAGTCACTTTCCGGGGGTTAGTTACCATCCCCCATTGATATCACTGTCCCAGCCCTTGCAGTACCTTTCCATCTGTGGGGAAGGAGCTGGAGTCTCCATCCTCCTTCATAACACTGGGAGGCCTATAACAAAACTCAATTGATGACCTTAGTAGTACGCGCCCCCATGTGACAGTTCCACCCACTAATACTTCATCCTCATCACCCACTCTCCATCAACTAGGTCCTCTTTCCACACTCGCTTGAGATCACTTCTTCACATAGAGACAGACACACCACCTTTCCTATTTCCCCGTCTCTACTGAAAGAGAACCTAGCAGGAATATGAATGGGCCCAAGTCATGTGAGGACATGAAGCCAAGATTCAGGCCAAGACCAATTCTATCCTAGTTCTCTTCATGACACCGCAAACCTTCCAATCACCTATTGTGCTGGGCACACATCTGGCATTGCGGGAACACACACCCTGTTTCATTCAACCGACATCCTTGTTTCATTCCACCTGGTCACCTTGTTTCACCCAACATTGGGTTGTTTGGGTTGGGGAACTTCAGAAAGAAAGTACAGAGAAGGGCACCTTAAAACTGCTAATGCATGGAAGGACGATCAGCAGCACTGCATATATTCTCTCTTAAGAAGAGGCCGTATTAAACGGGGATATTGATCTCCATGTATAATACATAAGGGTGGGTATATGATCATCCATGGTATAATACATAAGGGGGGATATGATCTCCAATGTATAATACATAAGGGGGTGATTATGATCTCCAAGGGTATAATACATAAGGGGGGATATGATCTCCATGTATAATACATTAGCGGGGGATATGATCT